AAAGTTCATACCATATGTAATGCACTCTTTTTGGTTTTCTTACTTCTTTTCTACCTCTACCTTTTTCTCCTGATGCTGCTATTTCTCACCATGTTAATACCCAAATTACTTGCATCCTTTTTGATCAACCACCTAAATCTTCTCTGACTGATACACTTACTATTCTTATTTATTGTTTAATTCTTTTCTTGTCTTGTTACAGTCACACCACACATCTTTATGAAGATCATCTTCTCTCTCGGCAAATAATATAAATTATAAATATAAATAGACACACACATATAATTAATACATATAATTATATGCCTAAATTGGATCAGTCTCTTAATAGGAACACTTGTGTTTGTTTTGGAAATAAAATGTTTCGTGGCTATATTTTGTGCTTTTTTAGTAAAATGTTTTATTTTCTACTTTTTGAGAGATTTTAAAAGTTATATATATTCACTTTATAGCTTTTTTGCATCATTCTTTTTTAAGTGATCTAATTTAATGTTGACACTAGATTGATTGAACGGGGTAAACTAGTGTTTCTCAAACGGGATCCCAGGATCCCGGGAAAACAAGGTGAAAGTGACAGAGGGATATCCTTGGATATGGCTAATATTTTCCAGGATATGTATTTTATCTTGAATAACACCAAGTTTTTTAACAACTATTTTTAACTATTTTTTCAAAATTCAAAAAAATCCAGTCGCCTTTTTTCTTGTTATTATAAAATAAGAGTAAAAAAATATTTCTTAATTTTAAACAACAAAGCTGTGTGCTTCATTTGTTTTTATAATTTCAAATTATTATAAAAATTAAACATTTTGTACTGTATTATTAAAAATTTAAATAGTTCATATATACTATTTTAGAATTTTTTTTGTTGGTAATGTGTTGGTAATGTATCTTATTTATTAATCATTCAGTTATTTTACAATTCATAACTATACCATGTCGATAGTAAGTGGATCAAAAGCATGGCAATATTCTTGTAAAGAAAAACCTGGAAAATCTGCAACTTGCAAAAAGTACGGTGAATAAACAAACAGGCTCTTTTGTAATTTAAAAAATGCACGCAAAGAAATGGATTTAGATTTGAAGTATCCACATTAAGACACTGGATCGGAAATTGGAAATATGTTTTAATTAGCAACAGTGCCTGATAATTTAAATAAAATTTGTTTATTTTATTATTAAAGAACCATTAAAAACAATTTGTTACTAGATGTAAAAGCATTTTGGTAGTTATTTAGTTCAAAGGTAACATAATTTAAAATAATTTTCACTTTGAGTTTTAGTTTTTTATGCTATTGTGATTTAATTTTTTTTTTTTTAATATATTCTAATTTTTAAAAATCTTTCTAGTTTAGTTAAGCTTTTTTTAGCGCGTTTCCTAAATTTAATTTATGTTTCAATTACCAAAACATCTAAACAGCAGTGGTTGAATTGTCAAAAAAAATTATATGCTTGACCAGGAAGTATACTAGGAAAAGAATAGAGTGCATTCACATGCCATTCCTTTGCCTGCAGCTTTTATATTTCTGGTTAGACATTTGTATAGCCAGAAATATAAAAGCTAGTTTTAAAAGGTAGCATTTATATTTCTGGTTAGACATTTGTCTAACCAGAAATATAAAAGCTAGTTTTAAAAGGTAGCACAGACTGATTCAGTTCTTTTTCAGCATCTAATTGTCTATAACCTTCTTCATCTTTAACATGAACAAAATTTTGCATACATTCAATATACCATATCTTTTTTATTGTGTTTTTGCAGTAGTTTAACTGATCTCAATAAACTTTATGTAAAATTTATGCACATGCAAATCCAGCTATCCAGCAAAATTATAAAACAATAAACAAGAAAACATTTTAACAAATTACAAAAATAAATTTATTGGTTTCAAGTTAACCAACCATTCTATTAGATTATATCTAACAGCGTATTTTTATTAAAAATATTATAAAAGTTTTTTAGCAGGATTTATTAATACTTAGTTAATTTAGATAATTGAAAGTTTTAAATAATCTAAAACTTAAGCACAAACTAGCAGTTAAATCATTTTTTATTTTTTTATAATTTATTTTTTAAAAGGTTTTTTATAAAAGTTATAAAACCTGGTATTTAAAATAAATTTAAAAATAAATTTAAAAGTTATAAAACCTGGTATTTAAAATAAATTTAAAAATAAATTTAAAAGTTATAAAACCTGGTATTTAAAATAAATTTAATCTTTTGAGTCTTGAAAACTGTCTTGTTTTGAAGAAAATTTATGATCAACATAAAAGTCAATTTTTACAAACATAATTAAGTCAAAAAAAATTAATCAACCATGTAATGAACCAATAAAAATTCAAACTTAATGGTAAATAGATTTATTATTCAGCATTATTCAGTAGTTATTCTAATAATTCTGATTTTAAAATTCAGAAATAAGCACATAAATTCATTTTAAGATTTCAAACAATTACTGCTTGTTTTAATAAGTTAAATGTTGAAATGTTTTCAAAAAAGTTTTATTATAAAAAGCCATTCCACAGTGGGCCAGTGACTGGACAAAAGTATAAAAATCAAAGTCAGAATTTTGATGTCATAATGGTTTTAAACCTTTTTATAGATATTATGAAACAATTTACAACCTTTTATATACACCTAAAATTTTAATGAAAAGACTAATTATGTGGTTGAAGTATATGCAAATGTAAATTAGAAAAAAAATTATAAAGCAAAAAATATTGTTTACAAAATCTATGGTAATAATGTAGCACTGTATTAAATATTGCGCATTGAAAATTATTTCATTGTTGAACTATCTATTTTCTGCATTTTAAGAGTTGTTAGATTAAAATAGGTAAGAAAACTAATAAGTTATAATAATTTTAAATACTTAATTAAAAGAAAAATTGAAGTGTATTTTTTGGTTTAAAAAATACAAAAAATAGAAGATCTTGTAGTACCCTGTTATACATATTTTGAAGCTTTTATATACATATTATGAAAATATATTTAATTTAGCTGCTAATATTTGCTAAATTAACTTTTATTTGCAATGATTTGCAAAAATATTGTATATAAAATATAACATCGCGAACAAAATAATAAAAAAAATATTTTTTAATGAAAATGAATATTTTTATTCAAAAATAAGATTATTTAATTATAGTTAATAATAATAATTAAAAAAAAATATCTCTACATAAAATAAATGAAAACCTATTGATAAATTGTTTTATTTTAGACTATTGTTATTATGTCAAGCATCAATAGAAATCAAATCCATTTATATATAAGAGAAAACAAATTATCATTATCAAATGAAAAAGATAAGCTGGTAGTTTTTAATTTTATTGGTAAACAACTTGGCAATACTAAATGTAAAGTTCAATTTTCAAAATTTACTTTTGAATACAGAAAGGGATGGGCTGCAAGTGGACATTACAATGATAAATTTTTGAATAAAAATTTAGCCTGGCTTTGCAAAGACTTTATTAGTCCCCAACAAACCTTTTCTTTATGCAATACAGAAACTACATCTAAATTATCTCTTGGCAGGCCTTGTAAATCAATTGAAGAATCATCTGATAAATCTAAAAAAAGGAAACTGTCAAAACTTGAACCATTGGCAAGTTCTTCAAATGAGCTGTTGTTTGCTAGCAGTAGCAAACTTTGGAAACAAGGAAGGAGAAAACATGCTAAGGTAGTTAGAAATTTATCAAAAACTTAAACTGATGAACATGTTCAAAATACTCCCAATGAAGCCTTAGCACTCATCTTAGATAATAATCTGAGCAAATCTGATTATCAGTGCCTAAGGAACAATGCTGTAAGAAAAGGCTGTAATTTATATTCAGCTTATAATAATGTACGGGAAGCGAAAGTACTTTGTCTTCCAGAGAATAACTTATGGACTGTCACTGAATATTCTGCAGAGGTCAACATGCAACCATTGGTCAATCATACAGCACTACGTTTAATAGAATGTCAGGCAGAAGTTATTAACTCCTTAGGAGATCTTCAACGAACGACCCTAAGGTCCAAAGTTGGCTTTGATGGATCAACTTGCCAAAGCCTTTATACTCAAATAATAACAGAAAAAGAAAACAGAAATATTACAAATGAAGCCAGCTTATTCCTCACTTGCTTTGTGTCTTTGCAGTTATCTGGATATTGTAATGGCAAAAAGAAGATTATTTGGTCTAACCCTCATCCATCATCCACTTTATTTTGCAGACCAATAAGATTCTCCGATAAAAAAGAAACATCAGATGTATTAAAAAAAGAAGAGCAATTCCTTTACAACTCAATAGAAAAAATAATTTCTACAAAGTATGACAAATTAACAGTTGCACAAAATTGAAATTACAATGGTGGATGGGAAAGTTGCCACAGCACTATCCACAACAACAAAATCATCGCGATGCTGCTCAGTTTGTGGTTGCAATCTAAAAAAAATGAATGACTTATATACTGTAAAAAATCTCTTAATTACTAAAACTGGACTCAATTATGGGCTTTCAACTTTCCATGCATGGATCAGAACTATGGAATGGCTTCTCAAAATAAGCTACAAATTAACAATAAAGAAATAGTCAACACGAGAACCATCAGAAAAAAAAAAAAAAATTCAAGATAGAAAGACATCAATTCAAAAGAAATTTCGTGATGAAGTTGGGCTTTTAATTGATTTTCCAAGGACTTGTGGTTCAGGATCTTCAAACACTGGCAATACTGCTCGATGATTTTATTTAAAATGCAGAGAAGACTGCTGAAATTCTCCAACTAGATGTCATCATCATTAAGAAATTGCATGTTATTTTGTGCACTTTATCGTTATAATATGTTATTGATTCTTCTCGATTTAGAGACTTCTGCATGCAAACAGCTGAACGATATGACCAGTATCCATGGTACCACATGCCACAGAGCCTGCACTGAATTCTTATTCATGGTTGGCAAGTTGTGGATTGAATGGCTTTGCCAATTGGCATGCTCAGTGAAGAGGCACAAGAAGCACATAACAAGGACTTCAAGAAACTCTGGGAGTCTTTTTCAAGAAAGTGCTAAAACAAATTAAGACTTGTTAAGGAGATTGATGTGTTCATCTGATCCAATTATTAGTAATTTGAGAAAACCACATCATCCAAAGAAGAAAGACTTTCCAGATGGAGTGCTAGAGCTACTAAAAGAAGTACCTCTTAAAAATTTTGTGTAAATATATTATATTATTACATTTTTACTGCAATGTTACTTGAATTGTGTTTCTCTTTTCATTTTTTCTGCTTATTTGTTTACCATATGTTTATTGCTACAAATTAACGATGTTATAACGACATTTTGTTTACCTTATTGTAACTAAGGATATTGATACTTACATTGCTTAAGAAAACAAATAAGTTATAATAAGTTATAATAAAGCAATGTAAGTATCCATAGCAACAAAATAAAAAAATAACACCTTCATAAAAAGTGCACACATCATAATAGTACTTGCTAAGGAAAATAAAGTGCACACATCATAATAGTTGTTGCTAAGGAAAATAAAGGTATCCATAGCAACAAAATAAAAAATAACACCTTCATAAAAAGCGCAGACAACATATTATTACTCATGCTAATTTTTGTAAATTTAGCACTTGTGAAATATCTGGAAATACCAAAAATAGGTTGCTGCTAAGCAAAATAAAGGTATCCATAGCAACAAAATAAAAGAATAGCGCCTTCATTAAATGGACAGACTCACTATTAGTACTCATGCTAATTTCAGTGATTATAGCCCTAATATTAAATTAGTCATGAATTTTGTCCAGTAAAAGTGAATTCTGGCCCACGGTGCATTTAAACATTTAAAATTTTTTTTAGAGGCAAACCTTTTCAGAGATTAGCAAACCCTTTTAAGGATTGCAAACCCTCTTTAATAACTGTTTAATAGTCATTTTCAAACATTGAAAAACTTCTCAAGAGACTTGCAAACCCCTCAATATTGCTTTTTATTTTATAAAATTCACCTCCTCAAGGCTCCACTGAAGTTACAGATGCTATACATTTTTTTTTTTTTAATTAATTTATTTTATTTTAAACTCTCTTCCTACCCTGAACTCAAAAATACAAACTTTGTCAGACAAGTTTTTTTACTTACCTTGGTATACTACAAGACAAGATTTGGGTAATTTTTCTCTGCATACTTCTCCACTATCCTGTATTCAATTAGAAAAAACTAGATAAATTATTTAGTAATCAAATTTCTTTTAAAATATATAAAATATTAGTTTAGATTTATTTTTATTCACATTACAAAAACAATAAAAGTATAAAATTTTATTTTTTTTCCTTTCAACATTTTCACCTATAACAAGGCTGCAAGCAACCACTATAAGAGTTGGAAGTTAGTGGAAGAGAAAAGATGAGTTTATAGAGCAAGATAATGATTGACAGAAGACTTAAAAGTTTGCAAATTATATGAATTAGGAAAACAAGATGAAGGGAGCAAATTCTAAAGAACTGATGATCGAGGAAAAAAACTAGACAAATAAGAATTTTCGGAGCATTTATGAAAAGTCGCAGTAAAAGGATGAGATTTAATTGAATGATGAGTAACACAAGAATGAATTTTAGTAGATGGCACAAGAGACGCTAGCTCTTTAGAGCAGCATCCATTATAGTATTTTTAGAAAAGAGAAAGAGAAGTAACATTACAACAATTTGAAATGGAGGTTGGCTGCAAGAGTAGGTCCAACTATGTTTGAAATGCATTTTCACACCTTGTCTAAAAGAGAAAGGGCATCACTGGAAGATCTGCCCCCGATATGGCAACAATATTCCATACAAGGATGGATTTGAGATTTATAGAGATAAAGAATAGAATTGGGAATAAGAAAGTGGCAAGCACGATAAAGAGATGCAACCTTAGCAGACGCTAATTTTGCAATGGATTTGATATATGGTTTCCAAGTAAGATTAGAACTAAGAGTAAACCGTAGAAGATGAAAGCTAGAGTGTCCCCTCAAATTTTTTTTTTTTAAATTGCTGATGCAGTCCCTCCTAAAAGTTTCTTTATGATCCCGTAATAACACCTAATTTTTTTAGATCATTTAAACAATATTTAGGAGTCTCATAAGGGTCATAAAGCTCTAGAATATCAGAGTAGATTGTGTTCTACGTCTCGAATTTGGACAAATTTGGATAAATTTTTAGAGATCAGTCTTTGATCCTATTTTTTCATCAAATCTAGAAAGTTCTTTTGTTGTAGAATCTAGAAATATAACTTTTGTGTACATAGAAATTTGCTTTCAAGGACAAACAATGTCTAATTCAAGCAAAATCATGAATTTTTAACTTCTAAGTTGTATTTTATGATGCAACTTAAAAGTTAAAAATGATGATGTATAATTGTACATACATGATGTATGTATAGTTTATGCTTGTACATACATGATGTATGTATAACTTATGCTTGTACATACATGATGTATGTATAATTGTACATTAAGCCAACAGGCTCATCAGTAGTACAATGCCTTATTAATGTCAAATTATAATTAAGAATAATAACAATAATAACAATAATAATAAATTAACTTATTTTAGATTTTTTTAATTCAATAATAATGATATTTTGTGACATCATTAGTTTATGAGTTCTGTTAATAATAAAAGCCAAGAGCAATATTAAATGCTATATCATTTCTAGAATATTGTTTGTTGGTCATGTGTCATGTATGCAGTCTGCTGTTGGCAGAAAATATTTTCTTTAAAATGTGAAAAATTTGTTTATTTATTTTTCAAAATCCTGTAATAACTATAAATATCCACTATGATGAACAAACTTAATAGATTATTACTAGTTTTGTTGATGAAAAGACAGTATCAATTTATTGAGGGTTGTGAAAACCTCAGGAAGTAGCTAGTGACAATCAATATTATTAGCCTATTAGGTCTGTATAATTTTTATTTTTCTGATCTAGTAAACTCAGTGTTCACAAAAGAAGTCACACATGACATTATATGTTGTCTAATAAGACAATTTATAATATAGTTATATAATAATATATAATATGTATGTAACAGATAACTGAATAACACTTGTTATTTTCAGAGTAATGGAAAAATCCACCTCGACTCAGAGTAGCAATATAATCTGGCTGATTGGGCATCCCTGTGATAAGATAACAGGGGCGCGCCTACCTTGTGATCGTGATGTTATGAGAAACTTTGTATTCTATCACTAGAAATAAAAACTAACAGAGGCTAAAAATGCACAGAAAGTATATGATCAAGTGTTGCCATTCTGGATGAAATCTAGACTTCCAATAAGACATAAACCAGATGTAGTTCAGAAAATAAAAGATTTGTATAACCAGCATATTGGACTAATGAAACACAGGTTAAGGAATAATGCAAAGAATCTCCAAAATCAAGAAGAATATAGCAAGAAACTTAACAATTTGTTTGATGTCAATCATGCTAACTCGAATGAATTGATAAAGAATCAAGAAGACAGTCAGTTTCTCAAATTGCAATAAGAGTTGAGAACCGGATGCATTGGGTCTGTTGACAAAAAAAGTTTTTAATGCAAAACACGATCAGCTGAGCGCAGAGAACTGCCTGATATCACTGGAGTAGACACAGAACAAGTGAATAGATAGCCAATTTTGATATCTTCTCTTGTTGATGGAAGCATCAAACTTCTGGGTGTGCCAAAGTTGACTTCTGGGTCAGGAAAGGCAGCAATGAAGGCAGTTTTGGAACTTTTGAAGTCGTGGCAGACAGATTCACTAGTGATCGGAATGTGCATGTGAATGTGATACAACGGCCTCAAATACAGGTCAACTTAATGGGACCTGAACACTTTTGGAGTCAGCCATTGGACAAACTTACTATGGTTGGCTTGTCGCCATCACATGTTTGAGGTGCTCCTGTCAGATGCATATGGAGTGTGCCTGGGACCATCCACTGGACCAGAGATTTTGCTATCTAAAAAATTTAATGAAAAAACTGGTTCAAACTACTTTACTGTCAACTAAAGCTGCGACTGACACCACTTATCTTTGCAAGTGACAAATTAAAGGAATTCATTGCTGAACAACTTCAACTCGGCCATCCTCAAGATAACTACAAAGATTTTCTTCAATTTGATTTTTTTCAAAAATGATTGGTTTGAAAAATTTTACTGTAGCAGCTGTTTGAATTTATAAACCTGGTGCCCTTCAAATAACACGTTGGATGATAAAGATAATCTACATAATGAAGATTGCTCTTTGATGGTAATGATTGCTCTTTGATGGTAATAATTGCTCTTTGATGGTAATGAATCTATAGTAAAGCAAACAGCTTAGGAATTGCAAGAAATACAAAATGATTCAACAGATTTGTAGTCAAAGAATATCTTCAGTCTTGCTTTTCATGTCGAATGATTGCACCAGTCAATGACATTCTTCTGATCCAAAAGCTCCATGATTATGACGACCTTGGCTTGCAGACAGGTCTGAGGATAATGGTCAGGAATTCTTGGTACTTAAGCCAAGAGCTTGCAACACTCTATTTTTTCAACATTTATCCTGTGAAGAGAAAGCAAAGCTTGTATCAGAAATCAAAGATGATTAAGGATTGCATTTGGTCAAGCCACTTCCTCATTCAATATCGGAATGAACCATTTCTAGAGGTTTCTTTAAAACTACCGCGACTGACAACAATTTTCTTGTCTTACCAGCAGAAGAATGGAATAAAAGCCAATCTTATCAGATTGCTTGTGAACAGATAAAGTCTTGGCCAGTGTCAATGACAGTGTCAATGACTGTCCAAACTTGGTGTTGCCTTCTTACAGAATTTAATGCCACTATAACAAAAGATGAGTTGTCGATCAATTGTGACAATCTTCTGGGCATATAGAGAAGATTATAGAATTATAATTGGGTCAAAATTAAAACATTTTACTACTAAAAACTTATACTAGTGTATTTTCTATGAGTAAATTTATTAGTAGGTATCATAAAATATACCTAGTACCTAGTCCGACCGTAGAAGTTGATTTCCTTTGATTTTGGCATTATTTGTCCTTGAAAGCAAATTTCCATGTACACAAAAGTTATATATTTCTAGATTCTACAAATGAAGTTTTCTAGATTTGATAAACAAGTTATCCTTGGATCAAAGTCTCATTTCTAAAAATTTATCCAACTTAGAGATGTAGAATGCAATTTACTCCAATATTCTAGAACTTTTTGACCTTTGGGAGACCCCTAAATTCTATTTAAATGATCTAAAAAAAATTATGAGTTATAATGGGTCCATAAAGAAACTTGTAGGAGGGACTCAATCAACAATTAAAAAAAAAAATAATTTTATGAATGCTTTGGGACACCCTAATGAAGGGTAGATGACTATTTAAATACATTACCATTTATAAATATATGTAGATCTAGATTATTGCAATAACAATTAGCTGAAAAATTGAGTTTTATCCGAGTTAAAGTTCACCAGCCACTGAGAGACCCATGCTGTAGAAGAAGTGAGATCCTTTTCAAGCTCAAAAGCCCCCTCCAAACAATCAGAGTGTTGGCTTCTTATCAAGAAAAGAATAAATGGTAGTATCATCAGCGAACAATTCAACCTTAGATGTGAGAGTTTCTGGAATAATGTTAATGTAAATTATAGTAAAGTATAGGACAAAGGATAGAACTTTGAGAAACCCCTGAAGTTATAAGATATGAACTTTTATATTACAATTGGTAAGGGAATAATCATTAAGATACACTGTAAGAATAAAGCTTATGGAGATCAGCATGGCAAACTTTATCAAAAGCAAGCAATAGCCTTAACCGAGAGCAATAGCTTTAACCTCTCCACAATTATCTAATGCACGATAAAAGCTATGGTTATTACTGTTATTACTGTTAGCAAATCAGCTGTAGAACGAGAAGATCAAAATCCATATTTATGATCAGAAAGTAAGTTATTAGATTCAAGATGAGAGATAAAGTGTTTGTTAATTAAAGATTAAGTATAAAAGAAATCAGATTAAGCATAAAAGAAATCTTTAGAAATGTTTATGTAAACTTTTCTAACTGTTTTAAACTAAAACTTCTGTTTGGTTCAAAAATATATATTATATTATTAAGTCAATTAGTTATATAATTAATAAATATTAAAATATAATAAATAAAAAAATTGATAAAATTCAAGTCATTAGTTTATAAAATTGACTTGCTATCACTATTGACTAGTAATCAAATCATTAGTATAGAGGGAGCCTAAATTTGTGGACATGGCTAGTTTAGCAGGAAATATTTAAACAAACCCTAGATCATTATTTTTTGGAAAGAATACAAATAATTTGAAACATTTTTAAATTTATGTGCCTTAAAATTAAAATATTAAAAAAAAATTATTTCCTAATCAGTCTGACTGATTTTTTTGGTTTAAAGCATGTAACATATTAGTTACTTCAGCTGAGGTAATATTAATAAACTTTAAACACTTTTTATCAAAGTTTGGTAAATGTCATCATTATCTTCTATAAATACTGATTATATATTAAATATTCATTTAAAGTATCGGCAATCTGCTTTTGGTATATAATACACAGATTTTTGAAAATTTTGATTGCTTTTTATATTATTATGCAGCAGTTTTGGATTTTGCTTTCATAGCTATACAACTTTTATTATCATTGTTGCTTTTTAAACTTTTTTTTATATACTTCTCTTTTTGTTTTATTGGTATGTTTTTAAGTATCTATCCATAAAGAAAATTTATTGATAGACCAGACTTTATTTTTCATTTAAATATTGTTTATTCTTTATTAAGAAATTTTTAATTATTCTTGAGAAACTTATGACAAGCTGATAATGATGGTTGAACTGCTCACAAAAAAAGAAATGATGAATGAAAGGCTCAAAAAAAAGGTAATAATTGAAATAAAAAAACTAAGCAACAATTATTTTCATTTTTACCAATTTTTCTGAGATGATGACAAATTTATTAATAGTAACATCAGTTACTATTAATAAAATTATCTTTGTTGCTGCTATTTTGTTTATGGAAAAAAATAATTTTTTTCATCTTTATAAGGTTAACTATAAAAATGATCAGCTTTTTATTGCTTCTCTACTAAAAAAATATTTTAGTAAGAATTTTTGCAAAATTTAGATTTTCTACAAAGCTCAATGATCAAAACTTTTTTTTTTTTTTTTGATCATCATCAAAATTATTAAAATCATTATCTAGAATTTCATAATTTAGATTTTGATTGTGGTTTTTTTTTCTTTTTTCACTACAGATACACCTTCTGTTTTAAACACATTTAAGTATTGATTGCTTTGCTTTGCAATTGATGCTTAGGTGTGAGACTCATACTAGTATGTTTTCTGACGATTGATGCTTGAGTGAGGGACACTTTATCTGTATTTTAGTGTTTAAAAAAATCAATTTATAGGGCGTACCCCCACCCCCTGTTTGACACAATGCCACTGAAAAATGTACCTGCAAACAATGTGTTGAATAAATATAATAAAAAATTAAAATCTTTTTTATCACTTTTTCTATTTACTTTTTTAATATTAGTATAATAAAATTTTTCTCTTAGAAGTTTTGTTCTCAAAATTTTACACTTGATTAAACTTTTGTAAACTCCAATTATTTGTTTTATTTCTAATTTAATATATTCATTGCAAAATGTTTCCATACAACCAATGACACTGGCCATAGCCAATTACAGATTTTATTCTGAATACTCTTAAAGAGAAAAAGTTATCGTCATTATATAAAAAGCCAGTTCCTATTTTTCAAAAGATTCTATTAATTAGAAGAATTTCAGACTAACAGAATATAAAAAAACTCTTCTTTTTAAGAAAAAGGTTTTGTGCACTAAACCATTGTGATCATTATGAAAAAAAAAAAACTCAAATAAAGGGCAGTGTGTTGAACAACTTTGATATATCTGTATGCAGATAAAATTAATTCCAGTAATAAAAAATAAACATGTTAATATTAATAATTAAAAAATGTTAAATAATAGGTTAATTCCGATACATCATGAAACAAATGTTAAACATTAGGTTAATTCTGATACATCATGGAACAAAATAAAATAGTATTAAGAAAAGATCAATGTACACCAAATTTTACTATTACATTTAAGTTTCTTAAAAAAAAACAAAAAAAAAAACCCCTTTATCAGTAACAATTCACTACTGTTAATAAAGTCTGAAAACTTTAAATTTAATTAGAGCATGTTAAACCAATGTAATCATTTGACTCAACTTTTTTGATTTTCTTTTCTATTTTCTTTTTTTACATTTAACTTTACTTAATTGACCTTTAACTTTGAATATTCCACAAGAAGTTATTTACCACAAGCAACCAATGTGTTACCACAAGCAACTGATGCGTTATAACATCACATTGTTCATTTATTTTTTGCTTAAATTCAATTAATTATAATTAAAAACTACCTACCTCACCATTTTTTTATTTTCCTATTAATACATATATATGTAGTAATATAAAAATAAAATTCACTCACCGCTCCAAGCAAATACAGAAGTTTAATATTATTAAAATTATTTGAAAAAGATTTATATCCAACATCTAGTGCTGCTACTTGACTGGCAACCTTGTTAAGAAAAAAAAAAAAAAAAAAAAAGATTTATAAATTTAACATTGAAACTGTTTGAATGTTTTAAACCATATTATTGCAGAAGTAAATTTGTAATAAGTTTGTAGAAGTAACATTAATAATAATAATACATTTGTAAAAGTAACAATAACAGTAGTACATTTGTAGAAGTAACATTAATAATAGTAATACATTTGTAGAAGTAACATTAATAACAGTACATTTGTAGAAACAATTTTAGTTGTATACTGTTTGACAATTCAAAGTAATAGAACACTCCTTAATTATGCAGTCTTATTATTGGATATTGCACTTTTATTGGGTTAACAACTAAGTAATCGCTGATTTTTTTTTTAAATAAAAGATAATTTTTACATGGAACAAAATAACTTTATTCTGTAATGTATTGCCCATTTTTAACAATGCCTATTTTCCAATTTTCAGGCATCATAATTCCACGTTCATAAAACTTCTGGTTATTATCAGTAAAAAACTGAACCAGGTACGATTTGACATCATCATCATTATTAAAATTTTTACCAATCAAGGAGTTTTACAATGATCAAAATAACAAGTAACCAGATCGTGCAAGGTCAGGACTATATGGTGGATGTAGAAAATTATCCCAACCAAGTTCCAATAATTTTTACAGAGTGACCAAAGATATGTATGGCCTTGCATTGTCATGATGGAATACAACACCTTTTCGATTTGTCAATTCAGGCCGCTTTTCTTCAATAGCATTGTTCAATTTTGTTAGTTGTTCAATGTAGACATCTGAATTGATTGCTTGGTTGGGTGGTAAAAGTTCAAAGTAGACAATTCTTTTGTAATCCCACCAAACTGATAACCTAACTTTCTTTTTATAAATATCAGCTTTTGATGTTGTTTGAGCTGGTTCACCTGATTTGCTCCATGATTTTTTCTAATTGACATTGTTGTAAACAACCCATTTTTCATCACCAGCTATCAATCCTTTTAAAAATGGATCATTTTCATTACCTTTCTTTAACACATTGCAGATGTTAATGGGTTGTGTTAAATAATTTTCTTTTAGTTCATAAGGAACCCATATATCGAGTTTTCGTACATAGCAAAGTTGTTTTAAGTGATTTTCAATGCATGTATGTGATACATGAAGCTTCTCTGAAATCTCACATGTTGTACTGTGATGATAAGAATCGATTATAGCTTTGATTTGGTTGTCATCAACTTTAACTGGAGGATCAGAGCCTTTTTCATCTTTGAGTGAAAAATAACCAGAACCAAATTTGGCAAAACAATTTTGACACTGTCAGTCTTTTAAAGCTTTGTCACCATAAACAGCACATAACTTTTTGTGAGCTTGCAATGTGTTTTTTGCTTTCTGGAAAAAAAAAAAGTAAAATATGACAAAAATGTTCGTTTTGATTTTTGACATCAAACAAAAACTACACAACCAATTAAAAATTTTTGTTTACTGATTGACAGTTGAAGTACCAATTATCAAATAACAAAATGTGTTTGTTTCTATTAAAGCCATCTATGAGTGAAATCCGTAATTATTTGGTTGCCAACCCAGTATGTTGAAAGTATATTGTTATCCTTGTATGTAATTGTTGTACAAAATAGAAACAAATAATTTACCTATTATAAATAATGATATTCATATTTAATATGGTTTGTTAACTTTAAATGTAAATAAAAAATTGCTTTATCAATTACTTTTATCTATTTTAATCAATTATAGAGATTACGGATTTAGCTTGAAACCGTGCTATTATATACCGTGCTATAATACTACGTTGACTGCTTTTTGAAACTTTAATCAAGACACTTTTTACTAAATGCACAAAATGCAAAAAGAAAACCTATTTAGGTTTTAAACCTAATTCCAAAAGTTGCTTTTAAAGAAGTTTAAAGATAAAAACATGTTTTGAATCTAAAATTTACTTTAAAAAAAAATTAAAAATAAAATGATTTTAATTTATTAAAAACTTCTATTAAAAATTAATTAAAATAAAATCTCTTCATAAGTTCATAACACTGTTCATGTTAATATTAATATATATTTATTACATATTAATCTATACCCTGACAAATATTGTAACAGATCACACTTAAAGTATGCACTAAAAAATAAAAATTGATTTGTTCCCATCTTATTTACATAGCTGAATTTTTTTTCTTATTTTCTAATGTCAATAGAAAGAATGAAAAAATAGTGGAAATTTATATCAAATTTTCCTTCTTTTAAGTAAGTTGTTTTTAATAGAATGAGAACTTTCTTTAACAACCTTTTTATATACCTAAAACACTGTAGGGCATGAAAAATAGGCCAAAAGCTTTTTTCTTTTTCTAATGTTTTTTTTTTTTTTTTTTAATTTTTTTTTTAAATTTTAGTTTAAATATGGTAAACTTTAACCCAATGCAACCTATTACATGTCCTGCTGCCCTGCGGGATTAGCGTTCTAAGCAAAGGCCAGAGGGAGTGTGTTTCCTGTCATTTAATATTTGTCATGCCTATAGGGTAATTCCATTTAAAAGTGGGACAATCATTTCAGTCACCCCTTGGATTTTTTATAAATTTTAACAAGTGGTACGTATGTAAAATTTGGGCTCCCAAATCCGTTCAAAAATTATGGCGTTTTGAAATTCAGCATAAAATGTTCCATTTTTTACCAAACCTGTCATTATGGATTTTGTAGTCCTACTTTTTAGTGAATAATTTAAGATCTAGTTACAGAATGTAGCTAAAAATTGGAATCTAATCATTTTTGAGGGTGCTGAATTCAAAAATGTAGAGAAAATAATAAAATTTAAATTTTTTGATAGTTCTTTTTGGTCAGTTCAAACTTTTGTTCTGTCATCATGGGTTGTGCATTCATTAACTCCCGGAGTTGCCCAAGTCTTATGGATACAATTTTTTTTCAAATTAAGTATTAGATCTTACGCTATCTTTATAAAATAGATAGTTTTGGTTTCTTAAAGCATATTAGATATGTCATTTTGAAAAATTTACAAAAAAAAATATTTTTTTTTGGCCTCTGATCTTCATTACAGAATTTATGGCGATACTTTTTGTGTGAATAATTTAACTTCTTAAGGTAGAATATTACTGTAAATTGGTCTAAAAAAATTGCTCTTGAAAAAAAAAAATTTTATATTGAATTTTTTTTTTAAATTTATTTGTATATTTATTTATTTTTGTGTGTGGCTTTTATATAGTTGGAGGTGCCTTGGTTACTGCATTAGCTCACCTGTAATTTTATTTGTATGTGTGTGTTGTCTGAACATTTGGTGCAATGTTCACTCATAAATTACTTTATGTGTGTTTGTATTCTATCTGAACCTCTGGCACGGTGTTGATTCACCCGTAAGTTACTTTATATATGTATGTTTGTGTTTTGCCTCTGGCGCCATGTTGGTTCCCCTGTAATTTACTTTATATATGTTTGTGTTCTGTCTGAACCTCTGCCATGGTGTTTACTCACCAGTAAATTACTTTATGTATGTTTTTGTTCTGTTTACATCTTTGATGCAATCTGAGCTCAGTAATGAACTAGTTACTTCAACTACAAAACCTATGCTCACCTATATCTCTAGTATTTTGTTAGATGTTATGTTTTTCCTAATGCATTTCATGTCTAATGCTTTAAAGTGCTGTTTACAGGAAGTAACACCTTTTAACTACTCCTGGTCAGATCAGGTTCAGGATCATCACGATTACCCTGCTACTGGTATCATGTAACACAGAAATACCTGCCCCACGCTCTGCTGCCTTGCAGGATTTGCATTTTTAGACAAAGGCTTACTAACTAACAAAACAAACTCCACTTAAAAATCCCCTGTCTTGGGGCACTTGGTTGAGTAAAGGCTAGAGATAATGTCTCAATAAAAATACTTATCTTGGGCAAATGTTAATTGCATCCAGTCTTGTAGAAGGCCTCCTAGGCAAAGACTTTAAAGGTAAGCAGAAAAAATATGCTAACCAGCAGTTAATTCCTTCTTAATCTATTAGGCTGACGTAGATGTAAACCTGTGTTACATTGTTTTCTGACTAGGATGATGAATGCTGGATCTTTTTGATTCTACTCATAGAGTTTTGCTTATGCCTCCTTGATAATGGCTATGCAACTTTTCCTGTTATCTCTAAATGAGGGTACAGCTCTAAAACTCAGTTTAATGGTTCTGAGGCCAGTTGGTAGTAAGGTTTCCCGAACATTGTGGCAGCTTGTGGTAGAGGTTTATTCTGTCAAAAGCTGCAAAATATCAGAATATTAACAGTGCCATGTTGCGCATGGATGGTGTCCCTGTTGATGCTTTTGGTGCACATTGTTGAGGCCTCATAAGGAACCCTATGTTACAACTTAGGGTTAATTAATAGAACTCAAACAATTGTATAGCTCATTGCTAAGGAGGCTGTGCTCTATCTATGAATGAACCACATACTTGGCTTGGGGGTATACATACACATTAATTTACCTATTTATCATGAAGTCAGGTTCGAATCCTTTGACCATCTTTTATGTGCTTCCACTTAGCACCTCTTCACTTTATCACCTTTCTCTTTGTTTTTCATTTTCTCAATACAGTATTCTTTTAGATGTAAATTCTTATCAAATTGACCATGCCATCTCTCTTTGTACCTCTACCAATACTGTTGCATTGGTGACTTAGATGCTCATCACATTGAATGGCTTGGCTCTAACGCCACTGACCCTAATGGCACTAAAGGGTGTAACTTCTGCATGACTTAATCTATAATAACTTTTTCATTTTTTTCAAAAGAAAGACTCTAATGAGAACAAACAGCTATTTATTATTGCAAGAAATCGATGTAAAAAGGTGCTGTCTGATGCTAAGCTCCATTATTTTCAGTTCACTAAATCTATTTTTTTCCTCAGGTTTTGGAGACTTTTGAAAATCTTCAACGACGTCATTATCAAGTTTAGGTCTAACATTCTTTCGACTGACCTTATTATCTCTCCTTAAGAAAAAGCAGAACTATTTGCAAA